ATGAAAATTAAACCTTATTTTCAATAAGCAATCCTGAAAAATATTTGGGAGTGCTTAACTTTTTTCCAGGTGTATATTTGTAAAAGTATACATTCAGAGTATCTCTGTAACTAACTTAAAATGTTTTTTTTATGCATATTTAAGAAAATCATTATAACTTTCAGTATGAGCATTGTTAACAAATGTTTTGTCGGGAACCAATTAATGTGTTTAGAAGCTTGATCAAAATACATCATTTGAATATTATTTTTAGGTAAGCATAGACATATTCTCTGTTCCATCTATGTGATAGTTAAAAATAACTGAACACTTCAAAAATCATACTGAATGCATTACAGTTTGAAGAATAATGTTTTTTTTATTGTTTTTTTTTTTCTGTTTCATAAGAGACATCATGCAAAAAAAAATGTGTGTGTCCTTGTTTCATCCTACTATAATTTGAGACAAGTTTGTTTGTTTGATTGTCTGTTTCTTTATCTTCTAACTCTAAACTTATACATTTGGATCTGTCAAATATGGTTTTATCAGCTAGGAATAATTTGGGATGTGTCAATAGTATGTTATGTTTCTTTTAAAATGCGTGGATATCATAGCTCCAGTGATTGTTAAATATAGGTCAGTCAGTGGGGGTGGCCACTAGGGGTACTGATGGGATTTGTCCAATTTTTTTCATTATATGAGATATATGCAAAATCTATAAACTTTCAAACATTTTAAAATTGGGAACACTATTTATATTTAATTCTAATCAAACATTTGAGGGATTTCTTTTTCACACTTTATTTATAAGTACTTTCAAGATACACTTATATTAAGTGATATGTTTTTAAGACACATGGAACTTATTGTTTTTTGTTTAAAAATAAATAAATAAAATTTTATTTAAATAATTACGTCCAGTAGACTTGAATAAGTTTATTCTTATGTACTTTATATTACCACTGCCATATTTAAAAAACAAAACATTTTTATATTTATAATTGTTGAAAATTTTGTTTCCAAATCTCATCCTGAGATAAAATGAAACAAAGACTTTTCTTTGTAAAAACCAATAAATCAATCATATAAATGATTTAACTTTTATAAACCTCCCACCATGCATTGCACAGGTACATTTGCTAGTACAGTAAACTTCAGTTTTTAAAGATTAACTTTCAAGTGAAACCTTCTGTGTATATAAGACCAGTTTGGACTTTGAAGGTTTTTTGCTGGAAAGTCTATAATGAAAGTTATAGAACTATGCATTGAAGAAATTCATATTTTAGAAACTAATGTTTTTTTTTAAATTTAATAATAACTCGTAAACACACTTTATACATGATGCAGTTTGCACAATATTATTATTATGTATATTAAAGAAATGCTTTCAAAACTTTAAAAGTTAACACATTTAAGATAAATTTTTCTTTATAGATTTTTGGTCCTATTCTTCCTATTGTTCCAATAGCAGATGTGGATGAAGCAATAAGATTTATTAACGACAGGTAACTACTAATGTGTTTCATCAGGCTTTTTTTCTTTTTATACACATAAAAAAAGTATGTTAATAAATCTGTTTTTCATAACAATAAAGCAAGTTAAAATAAATTTTTGGGATACAGAATTCATTTGTTCCATAGTTTTCACATTTAATTGAAGTGTTTGTCATGATGAATGTTTTGATATGTGCTTTATTTATTAAGAAAATATATTAATTTTATAGAACATTTCTTTGAATGAAAATTTTCTGGATATTTTTTTCCATCTTCAGCTGTAAGGTATTTGTGTTTATGAATAAGTAATTGCAGGTATTGTTTTTCTCAGAAGTTATTCAAATATTATATTTTTAAGAGTTGTTAAATAGAATTGTGAAGACTGTATTCTAGTATGCCCTTATGTATTTATAATTAGTATTATATGAAAACATTTATTTTTCTGTTGGTTGACTTGTTATATAACATTTTTACACTAGAGTACACTTGCTAATATCTATTTGGTCACGTATTTTTTCTAATCAAAATTTGTTTTTCATTTTTCACAGAGATAAACCTCTGTGCCTTTATGTATTTTCCAACAACAAAAATGTTGTTAAGCAATTCCTAAATAACACATCAAGTGGAAGTTGTTGTGTCAATGACACTGTGGTGCATCTCTCAGGTAAGATCAGTATGTGTTTATAAATATTTGCCCTGTAGTGACATTGTTTTTCTTTTCTTGATTTGAAAGCATCCTAAAAAAACTGAAATTAAATTCATGAAAAATGAATGATAAAACATAGTTGCTCAGACAATAGTCTATAGTTTATAAAAAGGAAAAAACATTGCAATATGATAATTTACCCTTTCCAGACCATAGAGCACTTTTCAGTTGTGAAGTGCACTCCTGTATATTAGACTTAAGTAAAAATAATAATTCTTACTATATTTGAACAAGTTTTTACTCAGAAATATTAAAAAATATATTGTCATTTTGTAATAATTATTTTTAATAATGTAATTTGCAAAGAAAAATGAAAAACAAAATATTGAAACTTATATTTCTGCATAACTTTGAGAATGCTTGTAATCAATGCACTCATCAGTTTTTTTAGAATTTTTCTGCCCATCCCAAAACATATGTTTATATTTGTTAAGAAACTCTAAAGCCAGTTGGAATGATCAGTTTTGGTTCTCACATGATTTTTTTCCCTTCTCTTTCTCTGATTTTATTAGTATGGATTCTTGCTACACCATTTTTTGAACTCGCATCATGTCAGAACAAATACTAATAAAAATACTAAACTTTAAAAATAACTATAATCAAAGCTTATATACCAAAAGATGTACCATATTATAAACTATTTACGTTAATGTAGAGTAACTAACATGGTGTGAGGTGTAATTTATGGTTTTTGTGGGAAATTGACAAGGCCTAGCTTTCATAGAGAAGAAAAACAGAATGTAGTGGGAAATTTAGAAGACTTAGGAACAAACCATCGATATGGATTTTTTTGTATAATTTCTTTAGATTTTCTTTTCACTTCTGAAAATATTTACAAGTTAAATTATATTTGTTTGAAAGACGTGGAAATTTTCTTATATTTCAGGACATCGGGTAAGCCTTATTAGGTTAAAATTTTAAGATAGGTGATAAAATATTCCAGTAATTCAAATAATTATTTATAGAATATTATTGTTAAGTTTGTTATATTCAAACAATGCACATTAATAAAAGGAAATTCTAAAGTAAGGAAGAGAAAGTATAGTTATTAGATATAAATTGACTTCGACCAAGAATATTGTTAGCTAGTTTAACTACTGCTATTATGACAAGTTAGGTTGTTGGTTACCAAGAAATGTTTGTTAGTGATAATCTTTATTCCATGTATAAAAACTTGGGATTTTGAGTTGTAACTGATATTATTGTACATAATTTAGCATTTTTTTTCTTTACACTTAGCTCTGTGTTATTCCACTATTTCGTGATAATTTCTTGTTATTTTTCATTGTGCCATTTTGTATACAGTTGCTTAGGTTTTAACTAGGAATATTTTAAGGTAATTACATGAGTCAGTTAAGCACGGTAAATTGCAAGGAATGTCGGACCAATAATATGATCACATAGTTCCTGGATCCACATATGTGACACTTGTAAATAAGAATTATGGCACCAGGTGATTGATAGATATAATGATTAACATTAATTAGAAAATAATGCCTCCTTGTATTAGACTACTGCAACAAATCTTCTTTACGCATAAGACATGAACAGCAATAGAGCTGAAATCTCACCAAATCACATTGTCTGAAAAAAACTTTCTACAGCATTCTAAAATGTAGGCCTACCTTCCTCTCAAGCTCAAAAACTTAGCTCACTTTGTTACTGATGTTCACAGATTTGAATTTTTCAATAGAAAAATGTTTAGATTTTATAGAACAGTGCTTCTCAACTGGGTGAATTGTTCATCTAGGGGTTAAAGGGATCAAAATCAGGGTGAATGAGTATTACAATTATATAACAAATTCAAGAGCAAATAAGTCATTAGTTATTATTATTTATTTTATGTTGTATTCATTTTAGTTGTAGTTTGATGTATATTTAAGTCATAATAAAGAATTTTATATTTTTTTCAAATTTGGGTGAATGATATTGGAAATGGTTGAGAAGCATTGTTATGGAACACAAGTGTCATAAATAACATTACATTTAAATCTGCCCCCCAGTGGTACAGCGGTATGTCCGTGGACTTACAATGCTAGAAACCGTGTTTTGATACCCGTGGTGGGCAGAGCACAGATAGCCCTTTGTGTAGCTTTGTACTTAACTACAAACAAGCATTTCAATTTTTCAAAGTATGCTTTTTGTTATGCAAGTTTCACAATTAAAATAATTAGATTTATAGTTATCTTATGAATTTCAGTGTTTTTTATGTTTTATAGATTTCTTGAACTTATGTCATTTCTGAAATGGTTGATAGTTGAAAAAGGATAGAAAATTCAGGAATGTATAACTTTAAAATAAAAAAGAAAATTGTATTTTATATAACATGACAATTTATGATGGAAATGCAAGTTCAGAAGATAGATTCTACTTAGAAAAAGTCTATAGTGATTTACAATATAGAAAATTTGAATTTTTGTTTGTGTGATAAATAAATAATGTTTTTGGTCCTGTGCACACATAAGTAACAAATTTCATCATTTTAATATACTATTTAAAGTTCACATCTAACTAATACATTAACTCTCCATATAAAAGCCCCCTCTTTATGGGCTCAGTCATTTTAATTGACCTTGCCACCACCAGATAATCATGAAAGTATCCCTACTATAAATTTTAATACACTTAGTGTATTTTCATGAAATTTGGCAAACATTTAGTAAACATTAAAAGTTTTTGTACACAGAATATCAGATTTTTCTGTGAATTTATGGAATTGGAGTGTGACTCAGGCTTTGACTAGGTGATTTTTATATTCCATCTTACAGTTTTCACATTTCATTAGCATAACCTCTAAGACCTCTTAAATGAATATCAAAATATTTTAATTAAAACATTATAACTTATCTGTTATTTTCTCTACCATAATATAATACATATTTGATCCATTTACCCAACTTTGTAATCAATACAAAAAATATGAAATAAATCAAAATTAACCTTTTTTCTTTCTAGAAAGATAGTATATTATAACAGAAAATTACAATTATTTATCTTAAACAGCCTCAGGCTTGTAACAGTTTACATCTGGTTTTTATTTATTTTTATTGTTTTATTGCTCTTTGAACTGTCTAACTTCTAAACTTTTGTAACAAATTGTAAAAAAATGCAGCAAACTTGTAGCTCAAATAACAGTATTGAATTACATAATGTGCATGCAGCTCATGTGCAGACCTTGAGAGATTTTAATATCTTTTTTCATTTGTTTTTTATCTAACATAATTTATTTGTGATTTTTATATTTTAGTTTTATAACAAGAAATTAAGAAAATACATAAAAATCAAGAAATTTAGTACTTACATCTAGCACGTTTTTTGCTCTCAACCCCCTGACATAACCTAACCCTACTTTTTTAACAATGGTAGTAGCACGTCAAATAATTTTTGTTTATTTCAAATATGTAACTAAAGCTCAAATAATAACAAGCACAAACCACACAATGCTCTATAACTATTATGATGTAACTGACTTTCTAACTAAAGTATAAGTGCCTTAAAATAATTCTTATACATGGTTGATGTGAAGTCAGCAATAGTAACAATGAATCTGTAGGCTGAATTATTCAAAAAACTGTCATCAGAACAAATTAGCCTTACATGGAAAACAATAAATCAAAATCTTCTCTTTCTATTGCTTATAAATAATTCAAAGTCAATCATCAGAGAGAATTATTGACATTTTGTGAAATACAGGATGTGATAGGAGGCCCTGGCAAGTGGATTTGGTATGCTGGTTTATATCTTCTTAAACCAAGAAGATTGGAGGCCTTAAAATTAGACTATGACTTAGTAAAATCTGTATAAATGAGGGATATATGTTAAACACAAAACAATATATAGGGGTGATGAGAAAATCAAAAATGGGCAATTCGGGGAAAACGTGTCACATGATGGAACTGGAGATTAAGGATTTATTTAAATATATCCTTTTGAAATTAAAGCATATATAATATTAACATTGGATGTATTAACTACTTTTTGATTCCAGGTTTATTCTTATTCATTGATAATAAAGTAGTTTAAATTTTGAATGTAAGTCTCTACAAAGTGAGAGGCACACCTATGTTCAGAGGGTTAATTGTTGTCATAAAGAGACATATTGAGAGTAAAGGCATTCCTTTTTAAGAGCAATAAACAGCTTTTAAAATCTGTCAAAATTACAACTTCACTGATTTTAGATTTTTTTTTACCAAGAATGAGATGGATAATTTTTTTATTTTCATTATTAATAATGTGGATAACTTTCTTCATTATAAAATGTTACAAACATAAATTTATGCCTTGTTTATTAAGAAATATAGGTTTAAGATAAAAGTTTTTTATTCTTTTCTATTTTCAATAGTGGATAGTTTACCATTTGGTGGTGTTGGAGGTAGTGGCATGGGTAGATATCATGGCAAGTTTTCTTTCGATACTTTTTCTCACAAAAAGGCTGTCCTCATACGAAACTTTATTCCACTGTTAGAAAAGCTAGGAGCGTAAGTAATTATTGCTATTTTTATTTTACCATGCATATATAAGTCATAAAATGCTCATTTTCTACACTCATGTTCCGAAGGTAAGTACTTCATCTTGAACCTAAATAAACAAATATTCAAAGTGATGAGTAGTATTGTTAACATATAATAATAGTAAGTTATTGATAAGGTCTTTATTTTTCTGGGAGGGAGCTTCTGTTAGTTTTCAAACAAATATTTCTTGCTGTTGGCCACTTGTTATTCAATATTAATTGTGAGTTTTAGAAAGAAAATTGAATACAAGTGTGGTAAAACAAAATGTTTTTTCAGACATTTTAGTTATTTCTTATTTACTTACTTATGTGACAGTTCAGTGTTCCTAAATGTGTTCATTTGGATCTATACACTGCAGCTGCTTCCTTTCTGTAATTATGCAACCTTTCCACAGAATACTTAGAGCTCATGGATCACAGATTGAGAACTGCTGTATTAGGGAGTGTACTAGAAGTATATGTCTTGTAAATTCTAAAAATGTTTATACATGTTCTTTAACAGAAGATAAAGATGGGGTTGATACTTATGTCAATTTTTTTTTGTGTCCCTATGAAGTGCCACTCAATGTTTGGTAGAAACAATTATTTTTTCATCACAGAACCCATGATAAAACATTTAAAAACACTTTGGTAATAAAAAGTTTTCATTTTTAAATTTGAATCCCCATCCCACCAAACATGCTCGCCCTTTCAGCCGTGGGGGCGTTATAATGTGACGGTCAATCCCACTATTCATTGGTAAAAGAGTAGCCCAAGAGTTGGCGGTGGGTGGTGATGACTAGCTGCCTTCCCTCTAGTCTTACACTGCTAAATTAGGGATGGCTAGCGCAGATAGCCCTCGTGTAGCTTTGCACAAAATTCAAAAACAAACAAAAACAATCATTTTTAAATTTTTATTTTTCCTTCTTCTTAGATAATAGTGTTTATGGACTAATTTTACTAATTTGAGAGTTAGAAAATGAATAAATACAAAAAACTAAATTTATGGAAAGCCCAAATACAGTTTTTTGTTGCTGTTTTTCATAGGTGATCAGATCCATTTTCAAGTAGAAGGAATTGACTATAAAATGTTTAATACTTGTTTTCAAGGTTTAGTATAGCTACATGCACTTTATATTTTCTAGTTATTGTTTATCTTTATTAATGCTTATGAGAGAATCCAAAAGAACATACCTTTCTTGTAAACAGCTTTAATAAGCATCCAGTGCCTCTCCTATTAATCATATATATGAGACCAGTGACCCCTCTTGTGTCTGATGAAAAATTTGTATTATCATGAATATCAGACCAATGATCCTTTTATGTCTACTTAAAAATTCTTGTTATCATGAATACTAAACCAGTGACCCTCTTATATCTTGTTAAAAATTCATGTAATCATGTATGTTAGCAGTAATTTTACTTTCTCTGAGAATTTCTGTATCTATAAGTGACAAGTTTGTTTGCCAAAAGTTTTAAATCCTCATTGTAATTTAAAAAAATAGGATTGTTAAAACTATGTATTTAGATTGCTAAATAATATTTTATTTTACTCTTAATGGCTTCTGTGTTTGTAAATTATAATATTTTAGGCTGAGATACCCACCATACACAGACAAGAATATGGAGAAGTTGTTGGTTTTGATGAAGAAGCGATCAAATTTTTTTCCAAAAATTAGTTATTATACCTTGGTATTTTTGCTGGGTATCATCACAGCAGTTGTTGTGAGATTGACTTTTGTTGTAAGTATTTTTTTTTAATTCATCGAAAAGCATTCAGCAACTTAACATGTTTCATAGAAATTTAAGTAAACAGACAGTTATATATATAGTGAGGACTCAGGTTTTGATGTATAGTCCTTTACAATTCACTAACAGCCTAAAATATTTAGTGTTTTGATAACGTGATATGCTGTTACAATTAATTATTCATTATTATTCCGTGGACTATTTATTTATTTATTTATGAATTTCTTTTCTTCACTGAAACGGGAATTTTTAATGATTACTTTGAGACTTAATTTGTACTTTGATTTGTTATGTCTGCTGCAGCAGACTAGCTTCACAGAATTCATAACTTATCAGGCCTTATATGGTGGTGGAATGCAAGCAGTTTGGTTTTGATTTATTTGCTTTGTTCTTCTAAACAGCACTGATAAGCTGTGAATTCAGCAAAAGTAGCTTCATGCTGTTGAGTTAGCAAATCAATGAATAGATTAGGTCTCTGTATCATCTTTTCTTGACTACAAATCAGGTTTTGGTATGACACATTTTAAAACTGTTGCTACAATTGTAACTAAAAGTTTTGAAACTTAGAAAAAAAAAATTGCCTATACTGTACCTGCCATGCAATGATCATTACAAAATCTTTCATATGTCAGCCAGTAACCAGTTTAAAAATACTTATCTCAATCTCAGATGCAAACACAAAAGCATGTAGGTTGGACACTGAATGGCTGGAAACATTCACTGTGGTCACTAGAGTCATATTTCATTCTTTTCTCTTCTAGTTGTAGAGTATAATTTATTTCTACAATGTTTACAGTCCTCCAGTTTGTATTTCATTCTGTAAAATCTAAATGCTTGAATAGTTTTCTATAAGCAAGACCATCACTAAATGCCCATCTAATGTACATGTTTGTGGTTAAGTTTCTTCTCAGGAGGCACATTAAGAAAGGATTTATATGTGCATTTGCTTTGTACCTTACGTACTCTTGAGACTCGTATTATAATTTGTAGAGGAGTGTGAGTTCTATATATAGGCTCCAACTATAGCTGGTTATTTTTCATTTTTGAAATTATTGGTATAATAATAACAAAATAGAATCCAACAGGTGAAATTTACATGAAAAACAACAACAAACTAATCCAATCTTAAAAGCATACAAGTCCAGCAGTGGTGCTGTGTAGGAAGAAGTAATGTATCTTCTGGAAAATGTTTGTTCTTGTTACATCGATTCATTTTACTGGTTGGCTTCTAATTCTCAGGTAGATGTGTTTATATATGTGTAATATTACACAAATACATACATACATTCCCTTATTATCATGCTGCATTATTTCCTTGATGCATCATACTAAGTTTAGTTACTCCCTGACATTTTCTTAGAACAGTAAGTTGTTGAAGGCAAGATCTCAGCAGTTTATTTGTTTTGTTTTTAACTACTTTGATTTATTATATATGACATATATAAACTCAAATCTGTAATTATAAAGATCTTGCCAATCTTTATTTTCACTAAAAGTGCATTTAAAAACTGTTTTATTAAGTTTCATTTTTTCCCTTTTTTTATTTAATTCAAAACAAAATGAAATTACAAATGTTTGTTGAGCTAACCATCCTTAATAACACTGCTAATTATTTTTAGAATATAATTTGTTCTTTAAGTCCATCCAGTTATAAGGAAAGTCTTTTATCAGAAGTCATGCAAATCTTCTAAGAACTGAAGTGTGAAAGTGTTAAAATTTTCCAATGGTGAGATTTAAAAAACATATGTTCACTTTTGCAGAAAAAGGCTATTTACAATAGTAGCACAGTATATTGCATACTTGCATTTTTTTGGAATTTTTTCCAAAAATGCTCATTCATGTAATTGTACTTACAAGAATTACAAAAAATAATTACATAAACTTTTATGCAGCTTCGGTGTTTTCAGTAGAATTTATATATATATATATAGCATAATATATTAATTTTTATTTTACTTATATTTTTGTATATGTATGTTTTGTTTTCCCAAAGGCTTCTGGATTGACTAAGTATCTTCCTCATCCTTTCCAGTAAAAGTGCACTTAATAAATCAAGGAGAAGGAATGGATTCAAGCTGTCAACAAAATTTACTAAATGAGCCTTATCAGTTATTTATGAATATTATTTTCTTACTGATTAAAATATGTATATTAGTTTTTTCAAAAAAATACAACTGAAGTAAAATCTTTGGGTACTGATCTGTGTAATATTAATATAAGTCATAACTTGTGTTATTTTTTAAATAATTAAGATTGTGGACAAAGTATGTTTATACAGTATTTTTTAACCTAATTGCATATATCCTAAGTATGCCTAAGATAAACTAATGAACAAGTTTATAACTTAAATATTTTATTATGATGTACCATATATACTTACATAATGATTTTTAAACAGGTGTAAAACCAGATATTAATTACATTTAACATTGAATAATTTTATCCTGTTGTTTCTAACTAATTGTTGTCTATTTGTTTTATACCTCAATTTAAACACAGGTTAGCTTTTCTTTTTGTTATTAAATCATAAGAACAGTGTAAGTATTATACTACTGAGTGTTGTTTGAAAATAGATTTGTTAGAACTTTGTCACAAGCGATTATGCTATTTTTCATTACTTTTTTAATTTCTGGGAGAAGAAGGATTCGTGCAGCTACCTAACGTTTAAAATTTTACAATGGTGAAATAATTATGATGCAAGTCCATCATAAAATATCAAGGATTGCTGCCAGTTTAAAATGTCAACAAATCTAGTTTACATTTTCATTATTATTCTGTGAAACGGCATTATCAAAGCTGTTAATTTAGTCATTACATATATCTATACTTTTTCTAATATGTAATTTTAACATAAATGACTTTGAGTCAGTTTTTTCCAAACTGTGTATCACTGAAAGTTGCTAGGGGTGTGGCGAGAGTTTCCTCAAACAGAGTAGTTAAGAACAAAAAAAAAACCTACAAAAAAATAATATTGTGTGTGGCAGCAGCGATATCATGCAAATCAAGGTAAGTGGGTTAGGGTGTCGTCTGTGAAAAATGTTTGTAAATATCTGCTCTGAGATTTATTCAGAAATTAGGTCATAAAGTTTTAAAGAAAATAACAGGTTTATAAACAATATATATATATACATAAAGTCACAATGAAAGTTTTATATTTCATTGGATATTTTCCACTCTGCTAAGGCATGACATGATATAAAATATGAATATGAGGATGAATGCTTAGACCCTACACCCCATTTTCTAACCATTGGTGCTATTCCTGGTTATAGATTATTACTTTGCAACTTGATATATGTTACCTTGTTAACAGTTGCAATTGAGGTCCCTACTTTACTTGCAATAGACCACTGTGTTTGTGGTTTGTTTTAGGTGACAAGGAGTAGATTTTTAACTTTCTTCACTGACTCTGATGTGCTACAGCTACCTTGTCATGCACTAACCTCTTTTTTCTTTTTTTTCCTTACATGTTTTATAATTGCAAAGTAGTGGAACTTTACATTAGAAAGACTATCACTGTAACACTCCCAGAAGGATTTGATTTAAATGTCTTCTGAACATGAAAATTGTCAAACTTCAATTGAATTGCAACTGGAGGGTTAGATCTCTTAAGCTGTTTAATCACGGACCATGGGTAGGATGAGAGGTTACGTGTTTAGATATGCAACCATTGGTAATCGTAATTAGGTTGTGTTTTTTATATCATTATATCCTCAAGAAATGTTATTCATCAAGATATATTTTCATAAGATATCTTTATATCTATATGTGATAAGTGCACAAAATCTGTATTAATATAGATTACCGTAACATTCCATAAAAAACACTTCTTGAGCAGTGAAATCATTTGGAGTAGTTCTCTCTGTGATTTTTTTTTACCGTGAGTAAATCACACTGAACGTGATTGAGTCTTTCAGGAAGTATTTTTATATGAAGTTTAGGAATGATCCTTTTTATTTGCTATTATTAAGTATTGTTATCAGGGTTTTCTATTAAAGTATTTTATATATTTTTCCTTCTGATGGTTTAGTTTTAGTTCTAGTTTTAGGAATTGGACAGAAATTTGTTATAAACATTAAACTTTGTTAAAAGCATTAAGGAGAAATAGAGATGAATAAGAACATTTTGTATGAAAATGTGTGTATGATATTTAAGAAATAATCTTGGTTTAAGGGTATTTGTAATTTCAATTTACAATTTCATGTTTTATTATGAGAAAATTTTTGAAAGATTTTACATATTTGTTTATGCTATATGGAGAAAAAGATATACTCAGTTTTACATATTTTTATTCTGCCACAGTAATATTGTTGTCTCCATTACACATGAAATGTGCAATGCTTTGTAATTTCTCAGCTATAAGATTTATCTTATGGGTCTGCCATCTTATAATTTGGAATTTTCATTTTTTGTAACGTGTGTTGCAAGAACACGTGTATTCCAAGCTGGCGTATACAAACATAAATCAATTTCTTTCAATTTCAACTTGTGAAAATATTGAAAATAAAAGGTAAGAAGAAAAACTGATGCAAACAAGATGAACAAAAAAAAATTACTTAAGCATCATATGAAGAAAGGTTAATTTTTAAAAGTTAGCTCTACATTTTCCTTTGGCAACTTTACAATTCCAATTTATGAATATATTATTGCATCTTTACTTTTATCAAACTTTGACTCTTTGAGATTGGTTGAGGTTTTTAAAATACATTTTTTGGTTATTATAAGTAGGACTTATAATGTATGGTTGTATGGGTTCTTATTTTTACTTCCATTTCTGTGGTATATATGTTTATATACCACAGAAAAGCAACTTTTAATATCTAACTTTCATTGTTTGGAAACAGATTCATGTAATGAAATGAAATGTTTTTTTTTTTATATAATAACTGGACCTTGTTAGTTTTATAAGAGAAGCTGGTAACATTAATATTCAGAATAACATTATTGACTTCCATATGATATTTGAGCTTTTGTTTTAATTAATATTGAGATACTAATAACTAGATTGGATCTGATTTGTGATTTTTGTATGCTTTTTCAAATAAATAAATCAAGATTTTAGTAAAATAAATCCTGACTTGTTTAATTAAAATAGTAATGAAGAAAGAAAAGATTGGCAATATCAATGGCCAAAAGCAACTCCATTTTTTATCAATAAATATTATGCTTATAAACATCATTGATTTTGGTTTTTAGAGATAAATAGCATAAAGTGCTTTAAAATAAATTATTATGCTCATTGTTCAAGTAGTATCTCATTGAAATGCATGGAAAATTTCGAATTTTTGGACACCAATTTCAAGTCGGTAGAATCAATAGAAACAAAAATGAATGGTGATATTTAGTCTATATAGCATAAACAGTTTTGCATCAGTAAAAAGATGATTATAACAAGTTATTTTAGAATGCTTGATCACTCTAACTGCAAGAGAACTTGTTGTTGATCAGGGTTCTCATTGGTTGGTTTGACTTTTTTACAGTATTATATTTGAAATAAAATCTTGAACTTCCTCATTTTTTACCGGTTCTAAATGTTGGAATTAGTTTTTAACTGAAAAACATTTTCAAACAGTATTCAATTATTACCAAACTATGCAAGCAATACAAATTTACTTATTCACCTTATTTATGCCAAAAACAAAAATTGATTTATTATTATTAACCCTATAGATAAAAACTATATAATTATTAATGTAAAAAGTAAATTCAAAATAGACTAACATTAATTCAATAAGAAAGTGGTCATTCAGAGTGACCTAGAGTCCTAAATGACCCTGAAGTTTTACTAGATGAAATTAATTTTATACAGTATAGAACATGTAACATGAATAAAAGAAAGCATATATGCAAAAATATTTAAATAGTGCAATTTTATGTTTTATGGTATATTCATGGTATATGTTTTTGCTTCTTTAGGTTCATTGGGTTTCCGAACATTTAACCCCATGTTTCAACGCCTCCTCAACTTGTGTTGCTTAGTTATTTTGATAAGTTATGAAATACTTCATGAAGATATGTTTAAATTGAAAACTAGTTTGAATGATTCTTCATATGGAGCTGTAGAACAGTAAATTGAGAGCTGCATATCAAGGCCTGAGATCCATTTAATGACTTCGGGTGTCGCCACATGGAGGTCAACAATACCTCCCGAAAAGCAGCACTTAGGACACGAACATAAAATGTGATTGATTGTTTGCATTAGATGCCTTCTATCATATGGGGAGGGGCGTTAATTTGCTGCACCTTACTTGTTCAGAGTGGATAAGATTCAGGATTAGCATTTTGGTAAATGATAAAATCCTCTGTTTTTTTTAACTTTTATGGGGGGTGGTATTAGATTATATTTTGACATTTTTCAGAAAGCATACAATAAGTCAAATATTCAAAGTGAAACATAAACTTTAGTAGACTAACATACCAAACATCACTTCTTATGATCGTCATATTTGCGTAAGGAAGCATCTTTTTTTTTCTTTTTTTCTTTTTTGTGCAACAATACCCTCTAGACAAAATGCACGAGTCGGCCATTTTGTTTATGTTGACCTGAAATTGGTCTCAAGAACTTCTATTTTTTCATCTACTTGAATACTATAGTACTGACTTTTGGTCACTGATCTTGACAGTCTTCCTATTCACTCCTAATAATGCCAACTCACAACAACTAAATCAGTTGTTTATTGTCTGCTATGTGTAGTCACTGTAGTAGCATTAGGACATTTAATTTACTGTTTTTCTATTTTGAACTTGGATATCAGTTTTCATGTATTTGTTGTTGTTGTTCTAGATCAAAACCACATTTGGGTATCTGTTGTGTTCAGCACGGGAAATTTTAGCACTGTAAAGTTGCTGCTGTCCCACCAGGGAACATTATCATGTAACTAATTTGTGAGTGCATTAAAAGATCCAGCATAAAATAGAAGACGGAAATCTAGTAATGACCTTTATGGGTTTTTTTTTTTTTACTGTTGGAGAATGTTAAGATTTTTTGTCTATAATTTAAAAAGTTATTGTTTGGATTGTTTTCAATTTTGCGCAAAGCTACATGAGGGCTATCTGCTCTAGCCGTGACTAAGTTAGGTGTGAAAGAAAAGAGGGAAGGCAGTTAATCATCACCGCCAACTCTCGAGTCGAGCGCCCCAACCACCTGGCCATGCCAGGCCCTAAAGGATTATGAGTTTAGGCCAAGTCAAATGTTGTTATCATTATATAGAATTCTACTTGCACATTTAATTTTCAAACATTTATAACATTTCACAAAGCATATATTTCTATAAAATACTGATAGATTTCATATACAAGTGATAACCAATTTAAGAGAAAACTGACTACATTAGATGCAGTGTGTCCATATTAATCAGCGATAAACATCTCGTTAAAAAACGTAACAATTTGGTATGGAATCCGTAAAGAGAATGCACAAAATACATTATATATATAATAGCCAAATGTCTGTCTGTCACACTGTCTCCTGAATGGTTAACCATATTGAAGAAAACAAAATGCTTCTTTTCAAGAGCACATTGCAGGAAAATTAATAATTTTTTTGAAATTCCTATAATTTCATATCGATATCAGCATCGATCTGTCAGTCTTCATATGTGCACTGCTGAATAGTTAATCTGAAAAAACAAGCTTACTTAGAACAAAAAAATATTTCTTTTGTGAGAGAATTTCACACACAAGAAAATGGGAATTTCTCCGTCGTCTGAGCGAAATAAATATTTTGAAGATAAGAGAATGAACGGAAAAACACAAAAAGAGGAATTTGTTTGAGTATATATTTGTTGTTGTTTGGCTTACATATATATGTATTTAATGTCGGTATTATATACATGTATGACTTTATCGTACCATATCAAATAAATTGAATTTAATATCTCCCCTTTGACACTTCTTATAGAAATGACAACTTTCGAAAAGCGCTCACTTCGGTAGCGGTATTTTCTGGCGTTCAATAAAATTACAAGGGACGATTGCATTCAGGGTAAAAAATTCCCGCAGCTACTTAGTGAACTTGAGCGCTCCGTTGTGCTGAATGCACTCATTGCATCGAAACCCAACAATGCATGTCTTCTTTTCTTTGTAACAAACGCAAAGCAATTGTCCTTATTGAAATAACACATGTAATGACAAAATATGGTTGTAATCAGTCCACTAGACAATCATATTACATGTAAGTTATGATCCAAGGGATTGGGTTGACTGCACATTTTATATTTATCGATCACTATTTATAAGAAATTTACCGTTGAATTGTTTCAACGGGCAGCTGCTAGTACTGTAATAATTCAACTTGGTGACGAACATAACTTTGGTACAATGCTTTTGAATCTGGTAAATATATCACACAGAAAACAAGGGACATTTGTAACAATAGGGAGATGAATATGTTATGAAATAATATTTACCAAAGAGATAAAGAGTTCTGCTGGCTGAGAAAGACAACATTTACAATTAATTTACACAATTATTCAAAGATATGGATTGCTGTACACGGGATTCTTTGGCTTCTAATAAATGCAATATTTGAACACCCATACAGGTAGCTGAAATTAAAATTATCATAGTTCTAGTGCCTCCTATTCCAGTGGCTCAACAGTGTGTTTGAAAGCTTATAACGCTGAAAAGTGGGTTGCAAAGCTCGTGTTGGGCACAGCATAGACAGCCCGTTGTGTAGCTATGAACTATATGCTTAAAAAACAAATCTAGTTCTAGTTAGTCAATTTTTTTAAATTATTAATTCCTAGATTAAATACTTGTTCTTTTCAAGCTTTGTTCACAAATATTTGAACCTTTATAACACTGAAGTGTAAATAATTTAATGATGTGTGTTAAACAATTTTGTAGACGACAATAGTCAATTACATTGGTTACCTACCGGAAATCCATCAGTAGTGCAATTTACGCATTCGTAAAGTAGTGGAAACATTGGTGAAATTTACTGTATCACTGGAGAGAGAGATGTGTTTCATATAAACATAAAAGTTGGGTTTACAGACTTCAAATAAGCTGAACCATAATTACAAAATAGAAATATGTGACTGCATACATTAGTATTGTTACGTCTCCGTTTGTTAATTAACTTTCCGTAACTTCGTTCTGACGAAACTTTAGCAACACAAGTCCTTACTTAATAAAACTAATTTATTCTTTCCGAATATAACTTTACGATACACTTAATTTCAACAATCGCGCTAAAACAAACGCTATAACAACGAACGTACTCAACTTCGATAATACTCGCTGACTGCAGATCAATTACTCACTGTCTACACAAACATTCTTTTTTCGTCACGTTGTCACCCTCTTTTATATACC